TTTGGGAGGCCAAGGCAGGCAGGTCACTTGAGCCCAGGAGTTCGAGACCAGCCTGGCCAACATGGTGAAACCTTGTATCCACAAAAAATACAAGAAGTAGCTGGGTGTCATGGTGCACACCTGTAATTCCAGCTACTCAGGAGGCTGAGGCACGAGAATCACCTGAAGCTGGGAGGTGGAGGTTGTAGTGAGCTGAGATCGCACCACTGCACTCCAGTCCAGTCTGGGTGACAGATTAAGACTCTGTCTCAAAAAAAAAAAAAAAAAAAGCAAGCAAGCAAGCTACCCCGCCAATGAAGGCCAAGCACATCTGTTTTCTATGGAGGAGTCTGCATTTTGATTTGTTCACACATCCTATCCTTCAGAAGCTACATTTTGCCTCTGCCCCAATACAGTTTTTGTGAAGAACTACCAATCTAATGCCGTATTAAGGACTTTACAGACGGGGCTATAGATGTCAAAGCCATAAGGTCATGGAGGGAAAGTTAAACCTCTGAAGAGACTGCAAGGGGAAATTTAAATGGAAAATAAAATCGTGATAATAAAGGAGGTATAACTTTTTGTAACTTCTGATTATTTTACCAATGACAAGCAAATTCTTCACTTTGAAGCGCATGTATGTTGCAATGATGCAACGTCTCTAGTCTAAAGTGAGAGAAGGGGCAGATCTCTCATCTCTTTTCTGTTTTGGGAAGAAGGAAGCTAAGAAAAATGTGAGTTAAAACTACACAGGTTAGGAAATTTTGCAAAATCTCTTTTTTTCTTCCTGTATGAAAACAGACTTCCAGCTCGTACTCCTCCTGAGCTAACAGGGTAGGTTCCTTCTCAGCGTTATTTCACAGTGAGCAGATGGCAGTCTGAGATTTTTTTGATAAAAACAATCATCTGCCAGGGGTTACTGAGAGGTCATCAGAACCCTGATTAACAATTGATCAGCTCTAATGGACCATGATAGTAATAAATTCAGAGCCAGTACACAGACCTGCTACCTCAGTAATGGCAACGGGGCTGACACCCACGCTGTTAACAGATGTGCACTTAATAGCAGAGAAGCTTCAGTAGTTTCAAAACCTTCATCTAAGCCAAGACAAATTCTTCCATGCACATCTACTTTATCAAAGGTCTGTCTTTCACAGGTCTCCACCAAAGTGCATGTGGTTTACTTTGACCCATAGAAGAGTTCACTGAGGTCGGAGCACCAGTGTGAATGGCACTGTCATATCAACAGAGGATTTCAACATCTACCCTTCTGCTCAGACCACAATGGTACCCTCGGATGCTTTTGTTGTACATGTACAGAACAGGTGACTGGGGAGGAAAACTTTAGCTCCCTTTCCTTGTTCCCAAGAGAACAAAAACTAGAGACTTATTTTCTTGGTGCCTCATTTTTTCAAGAGAGATGCCAATGCTGCCTTCACAATCACAGCACCCCCTTTGACAGAGGGAATCACTTGTGCTACACCAGAATTTTACTGTAAAACTGCTGTAACAGGAAATCAGAACACTCTTGGAAAATAACAATAGCTTCAGATGGACAAAAAAAGAATGTCTCTGTGTTAGCTGAACTAAAACCACAAAACATTTTTCATCGACTGAAGGATAAGTAATCCCCAAAAGTCAACCACATCATCCCTTCCCATGCCCCATCCCACCAACCCTTATCTCTCAGTAAAACTGACCACATGAGCCATAAATAACAGATTTTACAAAACAGTCATCACTTCCAATGTTTCTCACTCGCTCCTACACCCTCACTCCTTCCCGTTGAACCAATGAAGCCAGAAAAAAATCAAAGAATGAGGACATTCCTTAACATAATCACAGTACAGGGATGAAAATCCAACAATCCAACATTAATACATCATTGTTTTCTAATGAACCCTCCATGTTAAAACTTTGTTTTCTAGTTCAGGATCACACATTACATGTAGTAGTTATGAGTCCTCTTTGAATTAGGAGCAAATCCTCAACATTTCTTTCTCCTTCTTGATCTTGGCATTTTTGAAGATGAGTCCAGCCAGTTACTTTGTAGAATGTTCCTCCATCTAGATTTGTCTGATGTTTCATCATGATTACAGTCAGGCTATACATTTGGGGCCAGAATTGTACATAAGTGTGTTATATTTTTCTGGGTCATCACATCTGGAGGCACTTGATGTCACTTTGTCTCATTATTGGTGACATTAACTTCGATTACTTATTTAAGGTGGTGTCTATCAGGTTTCTCCACAATAAAATTGCTATTTTTTCCCTTTGTAATTGATGAGTAACTTGTGGGCAAATAGTTTGAGACCGAAGTGTCCTGTTCTTCACCAAAATTTTGCCACCTAGTTTTAGCATCCACTTAAGATTCTTGCCTCAGTTAATTACCATAATTTTCTAATTCAATCATTTCTTCTATATGCATTAGTTGCCTTCTAAGACGTTCCTCCTCATTTGTCTATTTTTTTCTTAAGATGGAGTTTCGCTCTCTGTAGCCCAGGCTGGAGTGCACTGGCGTGATCTCGGCTCACTCCAACATCCACCTCCCGGCTTCAAGCAATTCTCCTGTCTCAGCCTCCTGAGTAGCTGGGATTACAGGCGCCTGCCACCATGCCTGGCTAATTTTTGTATTTTTAGCAGAGACAGGGTTTCACCATGTTGGCCAGGCTGGTCTCAAAGTCCTGATCTGCCCGCCTTGGCCTACCAAAGTGCTGGGATTACAAGTGGAAGCCACCAGCCTGGCCCATTTGTCTAGTTTTTAATCTATCTATCTGTTTGTTTATTATCAGGTAGACTCATGGATTCTTATTTTATTCATTATTACACGCTAAGTTGATATGAGTTGAGTTTCTGTCACTTAAAATCAGAATATTCCTGAAAAGCCTTCAGGAACTTCTGAGAAAAGTGAGACAGTTTCTCGGGGCAATGCACTCAAGAGGTCCTTATAATCTTCATACCTGCCAAAGTGCTTTCTGATGCTGCCATTAAATCCCTTCTGGCCCACTCTACAAGTCTAAACTCTCTGAAAATCAGGCTCAATGAAGACTAATGTGGCCAGTAAATGGCCCCTAGATCTTTGTGGAGCAATCGTGTGAGAAGTGAGTATGGCTTTAGGAAGGTGAGGTACTTCTTGCTATATTCAAGGTTCTTCTCACTATCTTCTGTCCCTTCTCAGCAGCTCTGCTCAAAGAGCTGGGCCAGCTGCCCACTCCTCTCCCAATGGTTCCAACCATCCCCAGAGCTTCTCCTCATTTCCCTCTTATGCTTAGCTATACCTCTGGCTCTATTTGTTTCAAATGCTGGGTATTATGCCTAAAAAGACTATGGATGATGGACTTGATGTTTTTTGTTTGCCCCTTCAGAACCATCTTCAACCTTCCTCACCCAGCTCAATCTCTGAACTGAACTACATCAACCATACCAACAGCTGGATTCAGCCAACAGTGAGTACTGGCAAGAAATAAGAAAGCAAGAGAGTACTGGGGTATCATTATCCCAAATTTCACCCTTTCCAGCTCACCATGGGTGGCCATACTCCTCTATCAAATCATTTTTCCATGTAGCCATCTTCCCTGAGTTCTGGAAACGCCAGTTTTCCTCTCGTCAGGCCAGAAGTACGGCTAGCTCTGGGGTATGCCACCACTGCCTGTTGGTTTATTTGAACACCATTGTATGTTGGTTTCACTTAACCCCGACTACACCTTTGAAAATATTTCCTTAATTAAACTTTCCTTGATCACCTCACTCGAATATGCATTGTTTTATTCACAAAGCAAAAGACACAGATGAGGGTGATGATAAGGACACATCTTCAAGAGAGACATGCAGCCGGCGGCCGGCTTTGGTATTGCCATCTCTTTTGTGCTTAATGATTTATGTCTGCCTTTATATTTCCCATATAAATGGAAACATAGGAAAGTAAACACTATTTCCTAACTGTGACCACATGCCATTAAAAAAAATACGTCTAGCAAAGTTCAAACTTTAAGATTTGCTCCTTCTGTTTTCCTAGTGGTGAGGAAAGGTCACAAAACTCAAAGTGCCAATTTAGATAAAAGTTCATTCAGGGAGACCCAAAGGAATCTCCAAGTTTTACTTACTTACTTATTTATTTGTTTCTTTATTTATTGGAGACAGACTCTCACTCTGTCACCCAGGCTAGAGTGCAGTGGCTCCATCTCAGCTCACTGCAACGTCTGCTGCCCAGGTTCAAGCAATTCTCCTGCCTCAGTCTCCCAAGTAGCTGGGATTACAGGCGTCCACCACCATGCCCAGCTAATTTTTGTATTTTTAGTAGAGATGGCATTTCACCATGTTGGCCAGGCTGGTCTCAAACTCCTGGCCTCAAGCAATCCACCTGCCTCAGCCTCCCAAAGTGGTGGGATTACAGGCGTGAGCCACCACACCCAGCTGGAACCTCCAAGTATTATTTAATTCACTTGTTGCCCTTTACTATGTTTTCTATACACATCAACATCAAAATCCTTCTCAATCAGACATAGTTATGTCATGATCAGGTGCAAGATCTACTGCAAGAAATTAATGAGATGGATGTTTGAATCTCAAATCAGTGAATGATTTAATTTCTAAATTTTATTACCAATCAATTCAAGGATAGATCCACCACAGTATTGCTTTCAGTCACTTGCATTCCAAAATGCAGCCAGCCAAGTGGGGTTTGGATATATTCTGCTATCTTATCAATTTACCATTGAGAGATCTGGTGATTATTGTCAGTTGACCCAGTTAACTCCCCCTAAATTGGGGAATAGTTTATTGAAATCTGATTACACACATGTGAGTGTTTGGCATCACCCATTATAATTGTCACTGTTAGAAAGTGGTTGACAATTGCTTAAGAATCCTGTCAAAGACAGGCACATTTACTGAACTCTATGCCATCCTCACAAAAGCCTTTCCCTCCCAATCACTGAAAAATCAGTGTTCCTGGTACACCTGGTACTTCTCCTTTGGCATGAAACACACAAAACAATGTAACTCAAACTATAATCAGTTACCTGTAAGTCTGCATCAAATTCATGTTTCAGGTGTGCTTCTTCTGCAGCCTCCACCAGACGCTAAAAAAAAAAACAAAAAAAAAACAGAAGACAGCATTAAGGATCAGAATTGTGGCCTGAACCCCATCTCTCCATTGACCAAAGGTGACAGATTATATCATGGTTCATACATTGTGACCTGATGCCTTTGCTCCCATGAAACTGAAAATAATCACATCAGTGTCAACATTTGGTTTCTGCCTTCATCATTCAATCAATAATTCTTCCAATAAATATTTATTGTTATGTACACATTTATAAATGCACATACTCTGCATCCATTTACATAACAATTCAGATACTGGCCCTTAAGGCCCAATGCAGATCCAAAACCCACCTAGAATAGTGCATTCTTAGGTACAGAAGGCCCTTAGTCAAGATTTATTGCCTTGAATTGAGTCTAACTTTAAGTGGGCTAGCTTTCCTCCCCAATATTTTGGAAAAGAGTACTTATTTCAATTCCCTCAAACGTTCAAGGTCAATTCTTTCTGTACCCAGTTCTAATATGTAATTATCAGGTGACAGTTATGTGCATTTTATGGTCCATCAATGCCACTGTGACAATCTGCAACTCAAAAAAGCAATCACTTAAATTAAACAAATACTCAGCACCCACAAGAACACAATTCTTGTTATTCTTCTCAGCCAGCGAAGTTCAACACATTAATAGTCTTATGAAACCCATTTCATGATGCCTTCATTTAGATAATTACTCAACAATCAAAATCATTTTTACTTTAATTTGAATTTGCCAACAAGAAGATATTTCCCACCTTGAAAATACAGGCTAGTGGATATTGCACAAAACTCATGTGGTGAAATAATATTTCACTGAAATTACAACAAACTAAAAGGAAAATCTTAGATCCAAGCAAAAATTTGACCATTTCTATCTTCCCATGGTCACTCTTGTATCCTATGCTGTCTCTAACTTGCTTTCTCTTGACATAATGTAGGCCTGAGTTTAATAGGCCATGTGTGAAAAACGATGGCATTAATATTAATCTCTAAATGGTCACAAATTGACAGACAAATGTCCCATGAATAATTATTAAATTGGATACGGAAGTGAAGAGGCTGAAATATATTCGGGTAACTTTAAGCAGCAGTATAGAGCACCAAAGCCCACTTTCTCCACAGGACACACAAAGGAAGAGGCAGGCGAGCGAGAGACAGTGCTGCCCACAGACAGGAATTTGGGAAGGGTGGAAATGTGATTTCCCACACTCTCTTCAGTTGATCAGAAGGTCAGGAAGGGCTTTTCCTTTACTGGTCAAAGAACAATCCCCAGAGAACATCAGAGGCTAGAGCCAGGAGACCTGGTCCTCATTCTCTTCTGGATGCTAACTCACTACAGGTGTGAAATCTGGAGCAGGACTCTTCCTCTGTCTGAGACTCAGTTTCCTCACCTGAAAATACAAAAAGTGGTGACCCCAGAGCAGTGCTTCTCACTGTGCCGTCCCACATTGGCAGGATCAGTTTCACCTGGGAACTTGTAGAAATGCCCATCCCATTTTTTTTCTGGGTTTTTCTGATTCAGAACCGAATCAAAAGTTCTGGAGGTGGGGACCAGCAATCTGGTCTAACAAACCCTGCAGGTAGTTCTGATGTCACTAAAGTTTGAGAACCACTGGTTCTCAAAATAAATAATAATAAATAATAATAAATAATAAATAAATAATAAATAAAATAAAAATAACATTCATCCCATTCCTCATCTCACTCCTGATGCTTGATTAAACCTCCAAGGTTTCTCAACTCTTATTTAACTTTGTAAAATCTATGTGCCAGGCATGGTGGGTTCGTACCGGTAATCCCAGCACCTTGGGAGGCAGAGGTGGGCAGATCACCTGAGGTCAGGAATTAGAGATAAGCCTGGACGACATGGCAAAAACCCATCTCTACAAAACACATAAAAATTAGCCAGGCGTGGTGGCACATGCCTGTAATCTCAGCTACTCAGGAGGCTGAGGCAGGAGAATCACTTGAACCCAGGAGGCAGAGGCTGCAGTGAGCCGAGATCACACCACTGCACTCCAGCCTGGGCGACAGAGTGAGATTCTGTCTCAAAAACAAAAAACAAAACTTATGTATTCCTACCTAAAATACTGTCACTTTAAGACATAAAATTCTTTACAGAAAAAAAGACATAAGATGGAAGGGATGAGAAACAGAAAAGTAAGAAGAGGAACAATCTACAAAGATCAGGTAAGTGGGCCCCACGCGTTCATTGGGTCACCGTCTTCCTAGAATCACCCTAGTCAATGAAGCTTGTCAGCCTTCTGGGATCACATGGCACAATCTGCAAAAATATTGTGGATCCTGACAGATGAGTGACAGGCAGTGATAGATAAAATGAAGGAAAACTATGTGTTTCTTAGAGCATATTCTCTCAATCTTTGTAATAGATTTGGAATTTCTATGCATGTATCATGAAATCAGTTATATATTGAGCTTTACAGAATGTGTATAAATATTATGCATGTCTGAATACTTACATTATCAAAACAAGTCATGCATTTTGAGCATTTATTTATTTCAACACACAAAACTAGATTTTTAATGGTGTCTACACACTGAGAATCTAGAGAAAAAAAGTTGATAAAATGTTTAAATGATCAAAAGATAAAGTAAAACTACACAATTATCAAGACAGATAATACTGAAAAAAGTAAAGAATTGGAAAGGTAAAAATAATAATAAAGTCGTGTAGGACCAACAAAAAAGAGAACAGGATGAAAATAATAGGCAAGTTGAAATCATCACAAAACAGTATGCATGAAATGTATTTCATATATATTGTATTTACATATGTGTGTATGTGTATGTATATGTATATTGCACAGTCATGCAAACTATGTAACCTATTCCTATATAACAAAACAAAGTATATTTCAACAATGAACACTGCAATACAAAGTAGGTAACAATATAAGAAGGTAACACTGGAAAGCATCTGATAATATTGAAGTAACTACTAAGAGCAATCAGAACACTGCATTCCGTGCTGAGTGAAGTAAATACATGAGAATTTGACCGGCTAGCAAGTTTTTATGTTCATGTTCAAGTTAAATTTGCCACATGCCTTTTTATTTTTTTTTTCCTAATAGGGAACTCTTCACGAATTTGCATGTCATCCTTGCTAATCTCCTCTGGATTGCTCTCATTTTAGTATATGTGCTGCTGAAGCAAGCACTGCATGCCTTTTTTAAAACTTAATTTACCCCACATATTTCTTTCTTGATCCATGAAGATATTTTTTCCATCATTCTCACTAGAAAGCTTTAGGAAACATGATTCAAGAAATGATAATCAACCAGCAGCTACACGTAATGGTTGTTTCTTACGAAGCAAATGGGTATCCCAGAAAAGCGCTCTTCGAATGGATACGCCCTGTACACAGCACCCACCAGGTTGTCCCAACCTGCCCTCTGATGCCAATGGGAGACAGGCCTACATTTTCTGGGTGAACTCAGGGGATGCCCTCCCCAAACAGGCTCAGCTGTTGTGTAAGACAGTCAGGAAAAATGGCACATCATCAAGAACTACGTATCTTGTGGAAAGAACAAAGGACAGTAATCTTTCCTCTGAAAGCACTCTCACAAAGCTAAACAAATTAAAAGAAATGTTATTTAAGTAGGAAACCATCTTCCATAGATTTACCTAAGACAGGCTGGGTGTGATGTAATCCCAGCACTTTGGAAGGCTGAGGCAGGCGGATCGCATGAGCCCAGGACTTCAAAATCAGCCAGGGCAACATGGCAAATCCCCATCTCTACAAAAAATACAAAAATTAGCCAGGCATGGTGGCGCCCACCTGTAGTCCCAGCTAGCGGTGAAACTCAGGTGGGAGCATCACTTGAGCCCAGGAGGCAGAGGCTGCAGTGAGCCAAGACTACACTACTGCACTCCAGCCTGGGCAACAGAACGAGACCCTATCTCAGAAAAAAAAAAAAATGAAAACAGATTCATGGGGACAGAAGTTTCTACTGTTGTTTTGTTTTGTTTTGTTTTGTTTTGTTTTGTTTTGTTTTGTTTTTGAGACGGAGTCTCGGAGTCTCACTCTGTTCCCCAGGCTGGAGTGCAATGGCGTGATCTCAGCTCACTGCAAGCTCCGCCTCCCAGGTTCACACCGTTCTCCTGCCTCAGCCTCCTGAGTAGCTGGGATTACAGGCACGCGCCATCACCCCCAGCTAATTTTTGTATTTTTTAGCAGAGATGGCATTTCACCATGTTGGCTAGGCTGGTCTCGAACTCCTGACCTCAGGTGATCTGCCCACCTGGGCCTCCCAAAGTGCTGGGATTACACCCGTGAGTCACTGTGCCTGGCCAAGTTTCTCCAGTTAATAGAATTAAAATACATTGATTCATCATCTAACAAAGTCAAGACCATAAAACTTCAATTTCTGATGCTTGCTAATAGAAAGTAACAGCCTATTATTGACATCTCTTTCCTTAGCAAATGTCATTATAATCATCTAAATCCAATGAAATGTTTTTAAAACAAATTTGCAGGTAAGAAAAATCCATTAAATTTGCTAATATTTTAGTTATTATATAAGAAACTGCCAGTGAGCCTGGGGAAAACTGTTACTCTATTATACCTGTTATAAAGGCAGTATACTTTTAATAATAATGTTAATTTTCTTTTATATGAATTCCTTTTTTAGGTCCACAGATGGGATTATACAATTGTGAATGTGGTTTTTAATTAAACGTGAACACTGGAAACAAAAATGGCTTTGAAGACTCCAGCCTTCGGAACTGAGCTTTGAGGTAAGAGAAAACAGCAGTATTGTCCACAAATCTTTTGTCCCTTGTTTAATGCCAAAGCTTTTCCTTACTCAATAAAAATGATAACACTACACTGGAATATACATCCTGGACTTGGAACAAAGCACCTATAAGGTAAAAGGTCGTAATTCATGAGTTGATGCACATTTCACTGGCTTTTTATATTTCTATATAACTCATGCCTTTTAGTGAAATAAATACAAACAAGAGCCATCTTTATAAATAGA